AATATCATGTCGGGGACACCAGAACAACAGACAGTGAGTAGGGTTTTAAACCGCTTTTAGCTAACATTCCAACAATATCAGCGTGAGAGGACACCAGAACAACAGACAGTGAGTATAGTTTTACAACGCTTTTAGCAATATTCCAGCAATATCACGTTAGGGGACACCAGAACAACAGACAGCAAGTATGGTTTTACACGCTTTCAGCAATATTCCAGCAATATATCAATGGGCAGGGGACACCAGAACAACAGACAGTGAGTAGAGGTTTTACACCACTTTTAGCTTGTATTCCAGCAATATCACAGCCGAGACAATTCAGAACAACAGACGGTGAGTAGGGTTTTACAACGGCTTTAGCAATATTCCAGCAATATCAATGTGAGGGACACCCAGAACAACAGACAGTGGTAGGGTTTTACACGCTTTTTAGCAATATTCCAGCAATATCATGGGGACACTAGAACAACAGACAGTGATAGGGGGGACACCAGAACAACAGACAGTAAGGTAGGGTTTTACACACGCTTCTTTAGCAATATTCAGCAATATCATGTTGGGGACACCAGGAACAACAGACCGTGTAGTGGTTTTATTAACGGCTTTAGCAATATTCCAGCAATATCATGTTCGCAGGACACCAGAACAACAGGAAATTAAGTATGGTTTTACACGCTTTAGCAATATTCCAGCAATATCATGTTGGGGGGACACCAGAACAACAGACGGTAGGTAGGGTTTTACACCGCTTTTAGCAATATTCCAGCAATATCACGGCGGGGACACCAGAACAACAGACAGTGAGTAGGGTTTTACACGCTTTCAGCAATATTCCAGCAATATCGGCGAGCGGGGACACCAGAACAACAGACAGTGAGTAGGGTTTTACACCGCTTTTAGCAATATTCCAGCAATATCACAGGGGCAGGGGACACCAGAACAACAGACAGTGAGTACGAGGGTTTTACATCGCTTTTAGCAATATTCCAGCAATATCACGGCCCGGGGGACACCAGAACAACAGACAGTGAGTATGGTTTTACACCGCTTTTAGCAATATTCCAGCACATATCACGGGGGACAATATCAACAGACACAGCGAGGGACACCAGAACAACAGACAGTGAGTAGGGACACCAGAACAACAGCTTTTAGCAATATTCCAGCAATATCCAGCGATCACGGGGACACCAGAACAACAGACAGTGAGTAGGGTTTTACAACGCTTTTTAGCAATATTCCAGCAATATCGTAGTCGGGGACACCAGAACAACAGACAGTGAGTATGGTTTTACACACCACTTTTAGCAATATTCCAGCAATATCAAGGCGGGGACACCAGAACAACAGACAGTGAGTATGGGTTTTACACACTTTAGTAATATTCCAGCAATATTAGGCAGAGGACACCAGAACAACAGACAGTGAGTAGGGTTTTAAAACGGCTTTTAGCAATATTCCAGCAATATCATGGCTGGGGACACCAGAACAACAGACAGTGAGTAGGGTTTTTTAGCATTCGGCACTTTAGCAATATTCCAGCAATATCACAGCGGGGGACACCCAGAACAAGAGACAGTGAGTAGGGTTTTACACGGCTTTCAGCAATATTCCAGCAATATCACGCGGCGGGGACACCAGAACAACAGACAGTGAGTATGGTTTTACACCACTTTTAGCAATATTCCAGCAATATCAATGGGGACATTCCCAGAACAACAGACAGTGAGTAGGGTTTTACACGCTTTCAGCAATATTCCAGCAATATCTACGTGCGGGGACACGCAGAACAACAGACAGTGAGTAGGGTTTTACATCGCTTTCCAGCAATATTCCAGCAATATCAATGCGCGGGGACACCAGAACAACAGACAGTGAGTATGGTTTTACACCGCTTTCAGCAATATTCCAGCAATATCACGACTGGGGGACACCGTGAACAACAGAGACAGTGAGTAGGGTTTTACACCCCGGTTTTAGCAATATTCCAGCAATATCATGTATGGGGACACCTGAAATGATTTCACATAAAGACATGGTATAATGCCTAATGAGGGACACATAAAACCACATATAACTCTCATGATCATGCTACAACAAAAATATTTTGCCATGTTTAATCAGCCATTGTACAAGAATATAAACAAAATCCTAGTAACTATAATCAAAGGGTGAGACATCCATCCCTAAGTAACTACTGAGTCAAGGATGAGACATCCATCCCTATAGTACTGTCGACGAAATAGACAAAAAACTGTTTTAGGCCCTTACTCTGTATCCCTAAAAATTTACACAACTGCAAATAGCATATGTCGAAATAACCCACCCGGCCCTAACTTGGCATTCAGTGGGATGCGTAATAGGATATCTAGAAAAGCATGTGTCTTTGTAAAATCGAGGCGAAAGCTTACAAAAATACGAATAACTGCTGAAAACAATAGATCAGACTATAGATGGCAATTAGGTAGGTGGCTCAGCCAGGTATGACGACGGACCATCGACTCACCTGGCATAAGAAATGCATGTGCTGCCTACAGGCGACCAAGGGGTCATCAAAGATATTTTGTGCTTTTTCATGTGTGTTGACTATGCCTCATCTATTGATTAACAGCTTAAGTGTCTTTCTTTCATAAAGTTTATGTTGAGATATGTAAAGAGTTTGATACCTGATAACCATAGAAGCGCATCGTATTAAATGTCTCAAAATATATAGGTGGCATGACCACCTGATGTATGAATCGACAGGACTGGATATTATTTGTAAATTGTTATGACATGCGGTGTACTTCCCAGTATAATTGCCCTAAAGGATTATCATTATCTTAGCTGATATCTCTATCCCCAAGCCCGACCCCAATGATCGTCCTGCGACACCCGTCCAGGTTTTGCTTTTGAGACGAACCCTCCTATCTGTTTCTCTTTATAGTGACAGTGAGACTCCATGGTAGCTACATCTTTAATAGTTTAGCATGAAAGTTATTATTTTTTTACGCCAGCTGTCGTTTATAATGAAGCTATGTCTAATTTCAAATTGGTCACTTAAAAAGTGTCCTTTATAATACAATATCGTCACACACTAATTTGCATACAGCCATGGTCTGTTCCAAATAATTCGTTTTGGACTTAGAAAAAAATCGCATTGCTCATTTCTGCACTAATCTCTCATCGGTAAAGTCCTTTTTCTACATTTCTTGTGTCCCTACCATTGAGACTGTAGTTAGGCGAACTTAGTTTAAGAGATATTTCACACTTGCACATATCAACATAAATAATAATTCTATTTCCGACCAAGATAGTAACTACAGTCAAGAAAATACAGTTCCATTTATCTCAAGGGTTTCCCTAGTATCTATAATCAAGGGTGGAGACTTTAGTATCTACAATCAAGGGTGAGACATCCACATCCATCCCCTAGTATCTATAATCAAGGGTGAGACATCCATCCCTAGTATCTATAATCAAGGGTGAGACATCCATCCCTAGTAACTACAGTCAAGGGTGAGACATCCATCCCTAGTATCTATAATCAAGGGTGAGACATCCATCCTAGTAACTACAGTCAAGGGTGAGACATCCATCCCTAGTATCTATAATCAAGGGTGAGACATCCATCCCTAGTAGGGTGAGACATCCATCCCTAGTATCAAGGGTGAGACATCCATCCCTAGTATCTATAATCAAGGGTGAGACATCCATCCCTAGTAACTACAGTCAAGGGTGAGACATCCATCCCTAGTATCTATAATCAAGGGTGAGACATCCATCCCTAGTAACTACAGTCAAGGGTGAGACATCCATCCCTAGTATCTATAATCAAGGGTGAGACATCCATCCCTAGTAACTACAGTCAAGGGTGAGACATCCATCCCTAGTATCTATAATCAAGGGTGAGACATCCATCCCTAGTATCTACAATCAAGGGTGAGACATCCATCCCTAGTATCTATAATCAAGGGTGAGACATCCATCCCTAGTATCTATAATCAAGGGTGAGACATCCATCCCTAGTATCTATAATCAAGGGTGAGACATCCATCCCTAGTAACTACAGTCAAGGGTGAGACATCCATCCCTAGTAACTACAGTCAAGGGTGAGACATCCATCCCTAGTATCTATAATCAAGGGTGAGACATCCATCCCTAGTAACTACAGTCAAGGGTGAGACATCCATCCCTAGTATCTATAATCAAGGGTGAGACATCCATCCCTAGTAACTACAGTCAAGGGTGAGACATCCATCCCTAGTAACTACAGTCAAGGGTGAGACATCCATCCCTAGTATCTATAATCAAGGGTGAGACATCCATCCCTAGTAACTACAGTCAAGGGTGAGACATCCATCCCTAGTATCTATAATCAAGGGTGAGACATCCATCCCTAGTAACTACAGTCAAGGGTGAGACATCCTACGTGTTGTACACACCTTCTGTCAAGTGACTCAAGTCCTGCTGCACTAAGGAGACATGGTCTCTCTGAAAATATATACAAAAACAATTGGCTAGAAAAAGTGCAACATATAACTGTTGAAACATATGATGGTGAAAAACAGCTACAGCTAATTTAATAAAAGATGGTGAAAAACAGCTACAGCTAATTTAATAAAAGACGACACGATAATAGACCCACAAGGTTCTATAGCTCATCTGCTTTAGAAGAAAATATTGTCTGCGACTTCCATGTTAATCTGATGACAAGGACTGTTTACCACAATAAGTGCACTGGGTTAAAAACATTAGTGCCATAGCACTGAAACTCATTCATCTCATGGCAAGGGTGTAAACTGAATTCTGGAGAAATCACTGAGAATGTCCACAAAGACACGGATACTACATTTTGTCTGTAAGTGTGTACATGTGTGTCCAACATTATATTCAATTCTTGTTGTGTCACACAGGATTTTCTGGTTTGTCCAGGACAATTCAAAACGTGATTAATAATATGTAAGTTTATTTACCTCCATATTATCATCATCAAAGGCTTGCAGCTCGTATCTTTTCTATAAAGGAAAACAAATAGTCTCATCATGACAAAGAATCAATGGCAATGAAGAACTTGCCGTGTTCCCCTTAGTTCCCATTGAGAGAAATTATTCCAGGTACTTCAATATGTCAGTCATTTTCATAACTGAAAAAAAAACATACTGTAATGATAAGAGACTTGCACACAGTCTACATGTAAACTTAGCCAGGCGAGCCAGACCGGTCCCCTACCCGGATGTGCCTGCCTTGCACGTGCTTCTCGCGAACCGTGTCACCTTGTACACATCGCATTCAGTGTCTCAATTAAACTTGTGCTGTTCAGTCGTCTATTGTTGGTCCTCGTCCTAGCATCACATTGTTACACATACCTGACCAATATCTGCTGAATTCAATTTAAGTGATCTTTCAGATTTTGCAACATATCAACGTTCTTAGTATTCTTAGTATTAAATGCACTATGTTTATTTGCAGATAATTAGCCAGATAATTACAGGCAGCATTGTGAATACTACTATCACATAATGATACTTGACTAAATATCAATGATAATTAAGAAGTCAGTTTTATAAATCAACTTTAATTACGTTGATACTTCAACAGAAGTATGTATCATTTGTCACCATGGTGATACAAGGCTTGAACATGCCTGACTATCAGTACTATCAGTGGAGGAGAGAGGTTACACAGACGTCACACAGTAATCATCTGATTCTGTTCTATTTTCTAAAAATATTTCCATTTTCCAAAGGTTAATCACACCCTTACAACTAGTTGAGAATAATTCTCCCAAATTTATCCTCATAACATTTCTAGGTTTGTGTCAGACTTCCCGTGAGTGTTAAACATCTATGATCTGCATTACTTTCCTCCACAGATTCCTACTGTTCAGATCAGAGTTAAACCCCCTCACTCCCCCCATGGCACCTAGTTACCGTGTCCACAGCAAAGTGGTCAACTCCATCCAGTGTGATGTGTTGTGGAAGAGTCAACAGAGACATCTGAAAGCAACAAAATCTTTCTGCCATTTCCATGTATAAACAATTCTTTATACACTATTAATATTAAGTCATTATTATAGACTTACAGACTTCATCTGAGGTCTTACCTGCTATTTTGGAACCCCAATAAAAGGAAGGTCAACTTCGAACATTTCTAACCCTATGAAGATCCGGGTTAGAAATACTTAAATTGATCATGTATATTGAAGGAGACAACTGACATGATTGGGTGATCAACACTGTATCCCAACTGTCAAGACCAATGCTCATGATGTCACTCACGGGACTATCTCTCACTCAATTAGTTTACAGACCACTATTTGGTTGGAATACTGCGGAGTGGCATGTTCAGCAACAAAACAAACAAACAATAACATCATAACAAGATCAGTTTTGATACATGCATCAATGTCCATTGTTTGAGACTATATAAAATTGCCTTCAAATAATGTAAATCTAACAAAGTAAGGTTTAGAAAATTTCAAAATAGCAAAATGCAGAAGTTAAGCTGATGACCAATGCATGTGAAAAGTGTTTTTGAAGAATGTGAGAAGGTTCAAGTAATGGTAGAGATTCTCTCATTTGAGTCCAAATAGTTTTGGTGTGGGGAGGACAATTTGTGCAAAACAATTGCTAAAAAATATATAGGAATGCTTGTACTTTCTATTTAGTTAACCATAAGGCAAATTTCAATTACAATTTCAATCAAGTGTTCACAAAACCAATTTAAAAAGAAGAGAAATGTTCTTCAGAATATTCTGCCAACACCGATACATTCAGAAGAAAGCAATAATGCTCAATTAAATGCATTATTTGCATATAATAATATAACACTATTCTAATTTTTTAACTAAAGTCAATATTATGTAATTTTCTGAATAAAATTGATATTTTATACTTATCCTGACTCATGTATTTTTGCTTGTCTCCTTCCTCTTGCTAACGTTAGTGGAACACTTGTATCTCCTTTTTGAAGCTCCCTTCAATAAAACAGAGGTAAAATCACTACTCCCCACGAGTTATCTCCCTCGCCGTCTTGGCGGGAAAACGGCGCCACCCGTCTTCCCACGCTTCACTCTCTCCGAATTACTAGCCCGACACTTTAATTTACAGGGAAATCCAAAGTGTCTAGCGGGGAGGTTGGGAGGGCTTACCTAATGAGTCAGGATAAGTATAAAAATGTAATTTATTCAGAAAATTACATATTTTTCCTTATCCTGACTCATGTATTTTTGCTTGTAGAATCCGTCGGATTTGGTGGTGGGTCAAGCCACATCTGGATTCCATGTAGTGATTTACATCTTGTATACCCCCCTATGGGAACTTCCTGGTAGCACTTCTATTTTACTGCTAGGCTCTGCTGCTGCTGTAACCCTTTACTTCCAGCTTTCTCTGATGGGGGGACCACAATTGTTAACTTTTGGTCCTTGCTTCTGTTAACATTTTATGTGGATTTTGCAACTCCATCTCTTGATGCGAGCATCAAGTGGAGAAGTGACCCTTTCCTGTACGAGTATGTCCTTACAAGTACTGGGTCATATCACTTATGCTAGTCTGTCCTTAGACGTGCATATAGACTCTAAAGCTGAACTCTCCTGAGTGTAGGCTTTTGCAAGTCATGTGATAAAAAGGGCGAGACTCCGTCTCAGCGCCTTTGAGGGACTGTCAATTGTTGTGCTACAACAAGTGGGCCGAAATGGTGAATGCCGGAGACATCCTCGGTGGCGATGTCCCTCAGGTAATGGTTGGCAAACACCATGTCCGATTTCCAGAAGCAGCCCTCCATTATCGTCCTGATAGAGCAATTCCCATGTAGAGCGAGTGTTGACGCCAGAGCTCTAACTTCGTGTGGGTTGGAGGCTCTTGGAGGATCAAGTCCTGCTGCTTTGTAGGCCAGTAGTATGACAGTATGATATCGTAGTGCGGGAGACCTCCGTCTGTGTCGCTGTTGATATCGGGACGAAAAAACGATTGAATTTCCGTCTCCTGGTTCTGGATCTTTGTAGGTAGACTTTCAATGCTCTCACTGGGCACAAGGATAGGTCCTGCGTATCCTGTGGTCCAAGGACTGATGATAGTGCTGGGATGTGGAACTGTCTGTCTGGATGACCTGGCAGTTGATTCTTTGCTATGAAGTCCCATCTCAGTCCTATATGCACGATGTTTTGATTTTCATCAAATCGTGTTCTCTCAAAGTCCAGAGCATGTATTTCCGACATCCTTGCTGCTGTCGCTAAGGCGATCAGGAACAGCGTCTTCTGCGTCAAGAACTCAAAAGATGTCCTATCTAATGGTTCGTAGACGTCACTGGTGAGATGTCGTAGAACTATGTTGAGGTCCCACGCCGGAGCTTTAAATCTCTGTTGTTGGTCCTCCAGTTTAAAAGAGCATAGTAAGGCCAGTAACTCTGGTACTTTCGTCAGTTTGCACTCGTCCTCATGGTGATAACTGAGCTCAATGCCGCTAGGTATGATGAGAAGGTTGACCCTTTTAACCGCTTCGTTTGTCTTAGGTGACAAAGGTAGTCCACCACTTGAGGGTGTGTCGCTTTTATGGCTGTGAAGCCGGTCCTCAAAGCGTATGTCTCGAAGCTTCGCCACTTGTCGTCGTACAAGTTACGTGTAGACTTGCGTAGAGCTAGTGTGACTGCTTTCGCTGCCCTGGCGGAATATCCTCTCATGTTCAAGCACACCTTGATACAGTCCACATGTGTAGCCGGAACACCTCTGGGTTGCCGTGCGCCTGCTTTGTGTGAGGATGTACTAGTAGATTCGTCCACTCTGGTAGTTGCAGTTGAGGCGGTCCAAGTTCTTGTATGAAAATGGGGAACCATATTCTCGCTGGCCAGTATGGCGCGACCAAAATCAGTTGTAGGTCCTTCGTCTGACTGATTTTCTGCAACACCCTCGGTATTAGAGCTGGTGGTGGAAACGTGTAAGCGTTTAGTCCTTCCCAAGAGATGCTTAGAGCGTCCATTGCCCATGCTCGTGGATCTGGTATTGGTGAGACGAATGTTATGAGTTGATTGTTGAATATTAGTGGCGCTCCCATCTCTTGTATGATCTGCTTGAAGATCTGTGGATGAAGCATCCATTCTGTTGGGGATGGCTGCGTTGGACGGGATAGTGCGTCTGCTATCACATTCTTGGCTCCTGGAATGTGGCATGCTCTTATGTGGATGTTCAGGTTGTCTGTTATGCTGAACAGTTGAAAGCAGTGGTCCAGATGGTTCGCCGACCTTGTTGATCCTTCTGTTTATGTAGAACGCCACTGTGGAGTTGTCTGTATGTACCGTCAGATGAGCATTCTTCAAATGCTGGTCCAGTGGAGTATGGCGTTTATCACTGCTTTCATTTCCAGCATGTTGATGTGCAGATCTTTCTCTTCTATGGTCCATATCCCCGCTGACACTTCGCTGTCGAGGTGTGCTCCCCAACCTTGGAGAGATGCGTCCACGTAGAGATGCGTCTCGCACTCCGGCTCTGCTAAATAGGTGCTTCTGCGACCATTCGATCTCTGGGTCCACCATATTAGATATGGTTTTAGTCTGTCCGGAAGTCCGAAGGGGTCCGGATCGTCCATATGTACATTCACGAAGACCTGTAGTGGGCGTAGTTGTAGACTCCCTCTGTGTGTCATGTCCTGTGCTGATGTGAGAAGACCCAACAGACTCTGCCACTTCGTAGTAATAACGGAGAGAGTAGTGCTTGAGATACAATGGCTTGTAACTAGATCGTGAAACCCTTACCGGGTCCGTAAGGGAAATGAAGCGATGTCCGACTCTGTGACTGCCATCGTTGTGATGTCTATATAAAGTAGTCTGGCTGCCGTCACCCAAAAGTCCGTCCAACGTATGTTGCTGCAATTCGTCTGATGAATCGTCTTCAATGCTGACAGGGAAGGTCTCTAACCCCGTGAAGGCAGCCAAATCACGCAGGTCCCATCTAACTGGACTGTAATTGAGGCCTTCCTCTCTCGTTGACAGGTTGTTGTCACTTGTAACCCATTTCCTGACATGTGAACTACGTCCGACCTCTGCGCAGGGCGTTGTCTCTCATGGTCCAATCAAAATAAAGCATTTTGATTCCTTTGGCTTCCCGCGATGTGACGTCACCGGTGTAGCAGGAAAAAGGTCCTTGTAGAATCTAGTGCCGCCGTTGATATCTTATCAACACTCGGTCTTGTCCGTAGCCTTCCGGAGTTACACGAGTGACCACGTGTATGGAGGGTTGAATGGTAAACGTGCGAAATATTTCTCCGCGTAATACCGATGTAGGTAGGCTGTTTCCCTGGCTGCTGTGACTGTTACTTCAGTCCTGAAGATAATGCAGACGTCCTTTTATACAGATGATCAGCTGAAGTCTTCACGGCCTCAGTGCTGCTATTTGTAGACTGCATACATCGATCTCAATGAAGCGTCGTAATTGTAGAGTTGATGATGAACTTTGTTGTAAATTCTACCCAGGGAGTCGTCGATGATTTTGTAGTTTCCTAGCCTTAGCAAGGCTGCTACTGAACTACGCCACTGTGAATATCTGCAGATCTGTACGGAAGTGAAGATCTCTATATGGCCATGAGCCGTTATTTTCTTCTGATGTAGATATATCTATCAATGTGAATCCCGTCCTGGATTCAGTCTGAAGGTTTGCGCCGGAGATGAATTCGGACAAGAGTACCCCTCTTGAACTTCAATACATGTCCCTCAGTCTTTGCGCCGGTGAAGATCTTTCCCTTCTAGGGTGACGCTAGGTCCAGTCCAAAATGATGATACCGCCATCGTGTCCACTGGTATATGATGGTTGAATATCCTTGGAGATCTGCCTAGTGATCTGCGTGGCGGTCTGCGTGGTGCGTCTGTATGGCGATCTGCGTGTAGGTGAGCGTCTTCTAGTCCGGGATTGCCTTCCTGGCAATGTATTCCAAAGTGGTGAATCCCGTGATGATCTGTGAGGTGTTGTTGATGCCCTTGAAGATAACTCAGATGACCTTCGCGCAGGTGAGAAATTTTGTTGAGGTTCTGAGTCCCGAGACGTCTCTCTAGTCCTTCTAGGTGGTGTAGGTAGCCTGCGTGAAGGTCCTTTATTAGGCTCATCATCTGCTGACGGTCTCTGAAGATTGCGCCGTCCTGCGCGCAGGTTGCTGACGTCATGTAGCGTAGGTCTGCTTTATGACGTCTAATTAGGTCTGGGGAACGTCTATTTCTCCTGCGTGAAGGCTCGTCCGTGAAGACCTGCGCGCAGGTGAGAGGTTCTGTTGAGCGTCTGAGTCCTGAGACGTCTCTGCGTTGTAGATGGCCTGCGCGAATGCTCTTCATTAGTCTCATCATCAGATGACGATGTATCTCGGTCGGATGAATGTCTCTTCCTTCGCGCAGGATCGTTGACGTCCTGTATAGTAGGTACGTGAGTGCTGCATTCTCTTCCTTAGAGGGTGACGTCTGTATCAGGTCCACTGTTATGAGATCGTTGATCGTCCTTCGCTGGGGATCTGTGTGACGATCTGCGTGGTGATCTGCATGGAGATCTGCGTGGAGATGAACCTGTTGCGCTGCGTCTATAGGGCGATCTGCGCGGCAACCTGCGTGGAGGTGAGCGTCTCTAGGTTCATGAATGCCTCACTGGAGAGTCCCGTTGACGTCCTCTGGCCCTAGGCTTCTTCCTCTGTGAGGTGGGTAGCCTTCGTGAAGGTTCTTCATGTGCCTCATCCTCTGAAGACGAGCGTGCCGTCCTGCGCGCAGGTTGTTGACATCATGTAGCGTAGATCTGCTCTTGATCCTGGAGCTAGCTTCGCTGGAGGGCCTCTCCGATGTATCGTCAGTGTTGGGTCCTTCGTGCAGGTCCAGGTCGTCTCTGCGGGTGATGACTTGAGCATGAGAGCCCTGTGGCTGTCCATCATGTGATGCTCTTCCTGCGGGAAGCGCTTCTCCATCATCTCAATTATCTGCTGAGAGAACTGCTGCATGAAGGCCCCGGGTTGAACGTCTGCGATGATTGTAGAGCTGCCCTCTCTGCGCTGGTAGCGATATGGTCCAGGGATCGCTCATCTGCCGCCAGTGTAGATGGTAACTCGGACTGCGTGCTGTATCTCTGGGATGATCAGCAGCGGCTCATCATGAAGTCATCTCTCCTCCATCAGGACGATGTCGGCCGAAAGGTCCTTGTAGTCTGCGCAGAAGTCCCCGTTGAGCTGCTAGACGTTTTAGGGGTGTGAGGCTTCATTCTGCGTAGAGGATGGCTTCTTCTTCGTCTGCGTTGAGGGGTTGTCCGATGTAGAAGCCCTCTACTTCCAAGTAATGGCGGACAACATCCCACGCCCATCCTCCGAGGACACCTCCGGCAGGTCACTGGATGGAAGTAAGTCGTCTGACAGCAGTAGACAGCTCGTGAGGGACTCAGCCGGTTTATCCATGACTTGTAAAAGTTGCCTGGATTGTCGCTAGTACGCCTAAGTACAGAGAAAAAATATTTATGAAATTGAATTTCTGTTAAATGCTGATAAAGACTACAGCGAGAGCTGGAAGTACATGTTGTTGTGCAGCTAGGGCACAATAAATGTGGGTCTGCAGCAGGGAACCTAAACCTACAACGAAAACAGGTTTTCATGAAATGTAAACAACTGAACAATCACGTACAAAACCATGAATAAACAGTCAAAATACGAATACATTTCAAACCATATCGTTGAAGGATACTCCCTAAACCCCTATAAAGGTAATTTATAGGGTAATAACTAAATAATCAAAGGATATAGTGCCGTATTGGAGACACAGGTGCTCTCCCAACCGTCAACTAGGGTGAAGAAGGAGAGAGTGAAGCGTGGGAAGACGGGTGGCGCCGTTTTCCCGCCAAGACGGCGAGGGAGATAACTCGTGGGGAGTAGTGATTGTACATCTGTTTTATTGAAGGGAGCTTCAAAAAGGAGATACAAGTGTTCCACTAACGTTCGCAAGAGGAAGGAGACAAGCAAAAATACATGAGTCAGGATAAGGAAAAATATACATTATCATACATCCCTCTGGAGTCAATATGCATTTCTGTTGACTTTTTGTAGGCTGACGAAAATTATGAAAACTTTGTATTATATAACAAAAATCAATTGTTTCACAAACATCATATTTTAATCATAACTAAATTCTTCATTGGCAAATAACATTCTCCTACCTCAGCTGGCACCTTGATGAGCCAGAGTCTGAAGTTACTGACATCACCATCTAACTCATGAATCCTTGTGTCCGAGTTCATCGCTGCATTCCCATCTTCTGAACTGAAAGCAACCAAAGTAACTCAATAAACTGTGCATCACTGTTGATACGACACTCAGTAATGTTCACTCATCCCAGTGTCGTCAGCAGTGAGTGACCTGTGTAGTTGTGTCACAGCACCAATTAGATGCTGGGATAAGGCAAGGCTGATGCATTCACAAAGTGGTTTTGAGTGAGTGAGTTTACATCACCAGGGCAATATTTCTGCCATAATGCGATAAGAAATTGAATATAAATACTACATATAGTTTGAATAAGAAGCCTGTCATCGATTAACAGTACAATAAGTAGAAACATCACAGATACAGTTAAAAACAAGTTGATAGCAGTTAAAAGAAAACATTATTAACCAACAAGACGATATAAAAATGGGTTCTAGATTGCCACTAACTAAAGGTAGACCACCATACTAGGGACCATACGGACTGCATTTAGTGCATTTAAACTTCAGGCATGTAAATAAATACTCCAAAATATGTGTAACTTACACACGCTCCTAAGCGGAGAATAAAAGTGGTCTTGAAACTGATTACAGTAATCACATGATATCTACACCAAGATTTCATTGCAGTAATTATAAATAGCCCAAATACAAGTAACAAGGTGAACTTAATACGGACAATCTGTACACGGATAAAACTGATTGGTTTCAGAAGAGATATACTGAAAATGTGTCACCGTAACTGGATGAACAGGTACAAAGATCTCAGCAATGCCAAACATCAAATACAAAATAGAAGTATTGTCAGTTTATCAAATTATGCATTAACAAATGATATATGATATAATAATGAGCACAAAGAAAATATTGCTGAGGTAATTCAACATGTTTCTGCTTTTCAGGGTTCACAATGTTTTGTGGAGATGTCAAACTACAGGAGCTTAAAACTAACTGTCAGTCGTGATGTCAGCCCAGACTGTTCAGGTCTGGTGTGGGGGGAAACCTGAGGTCCGCAAGCCCAGCCTTGTGGCATCAACACTCTCAGGGGATGGAGCTACTGTCAGTCGTGATGTCAGCCCAGACTGTTCAGGTCTGGTGTGGGGGGAAACCTGAGGTCCACAAGCCCAGCCTTGTGGCATCAACACTCTCAGGGGATGGAGCTACTGTCAGTCGTGATGTCAGCCCAGACTGTTCAGGTCTAGTGTGGGGGGAAACCTGAGGTCCACAAGCCCAGCCTTGTGGCATCAACACTCTCAGGGATGGAGCTACTGTCAGTCGTGATGTCAGCCCAGACTGTTCAGGTCTAGTGTGGGGGGAAACCTGAGGTCCACAAGCCCAGCCTTGTGGCATCAACACTCTCAGGGGATGGAGCTACTGTCAGTCGTGATGTCAGCCCAGACTGTTCAGGTCTGGTGTGGGGGGAAACCTGAGGTCCACAAGCCCAGCCTTGTGGCATCAACACTCTCAGGGGATGGAGCTACTGTCAGTCGTGATGTCAGCCCAGACTGTTCAGGTCTGGTGTGGGGGGAAACCTGAGGTCCACAAGCCCAGCCTTGTGGCATCAACACTCTCAGGGGATGGAGCTACTGTCAGTCGTGATGTCAGCCCAGACTGTTCAGGTCTAGTGTGGGGGGAAACCTGAGGTCCACAAGCCCAGCCTTGTGGCATCAACACTCTCAGGGGATGGAGCTACTGTCAGTCGTGATGTCAGCCCAGACTGTTCAGGTCTGGTGTGGGGGGAAACCTGAGGTCCACAAGCCCAGCCTTGTGGCATCAACACTCTCAGGGGATGGAGCTACTGTCAGTCGTGATGTCAGCCCAGACTGTTCAGGTCTGGTGTGGGGGGAAACCTGAGGTCCACAAGCCCAGCCTTGTGGCATCAACACTCTCAGGGGATGGAGCTAATACTGCTTAAGTGTACTTTTCTTTTCAAACATAATAATACAGAGGTGGATTCAGTAGTAATTGAGGGGTTTTTTGCCGCACTCATGCGGCTTAGAGGCTTATTTTTATGAAATAAGTTCCCCAGCCCCCAATAAAAACGGCGCTGGTCTATCGAGAGGCATCCTTCGATGTGACTCCAGCCTAGACCCAAAGTTCCGAGCATTGAAGTATCAGCCGGCTTGCCAGTGTGATGGTTAGAGCGTTGGACTCGTAATCCAGCGTTTGCAGTTCGAGTCGGGGTAGCGATGAAAACACTTTTGCAAGTCTGAGTTGAGGTGTAAAGGTCAGTCCTCCTCGCAGGAGGAGTGATCTGTCACATGGGCACGTGAGGTAGGGGGTCAATCCTCCTCGGAGGAGGACTGACCTGGGAAATCTGTGTCGGGTCATTCCTCCTCCGCCGATGACGACCGCCCACAGGTTCTGGCCGAGCCATGTGAATGTTTTCGACAAGAAGCCCAGCAACCAGGACACGATGCTGCCCAAGATGCCTGGCAGGGCTTCCGCGGCCAGTCTCGCCAGGGCTTCCCCGGGCGATTTCAACTGTGTTTTTTATCCACCACCTTGTTTGGGTGGTGGTGGTGTCGGTTTCGTACTGCTGCCCGTCAGCGCTAAGACGAGGGTCAATACGATGAAGCCCAAAGCCGTAAGAAAGCTGGCGATGGTGATCCCTTGTTCCCGGAACAGATTTCGGATCCTGTCGGCCAACGTGATGTCCTCGTTCAACACTCGGTCAATGGTTTCGCGCACGCTGATCTGGGAGCAAGAAAATCGCGATATCGCGGACCAAGTCAATCCCTGGGAAAGAGGACGCCACTTCCAATCGGGTTGATCTTTCCTCTTCCAAGTTGCGCAATCTTTCTGTGATCCGACGTTGGCTGAATTTGTCCTCCGCTCCGTCAAGTTTGGTTTTTTCACGCGCGATATGCTCATCGAGCGCGTCCAGTTTGGCTATGTTGTGGTTTGCATGGCCTTGTCCAGCCCTCGCAGTTCCCGAAGGTAAATTCGAACCCGGGCAAGCGTTCGTTCTGGTACGTGGTCAATAGTTTTTCGACCTCGTTCGATGCGTCTTGAGCGCGTTGTGGTACGTCTCTCAAATCATCTTGACCGACTGCACCCCCCAGGGCATCGAGCTCGGTATTCGCCCATAAAGCCTTGTCAAACTTCCCGCTTATTTTTTGTCGATAGCTGGTTATATTTAATTTGTCACGGAGAAAGTCGGCACCCTGGTGACTGGCAAGTGTGGACAAAGCGAGAGGTTTTCTCGTACGGGAGTGCATGAGATCGATGCCCGGAGCATCTTTCCCTCGCAGTATCCCTTTATGATCGAGTTCGAACTAAGAAGGATTGCGATAAAGAGGATCTATATTTTCTTTTTGCTCCAGGGCATCGTAATAATCATTGACAGTTGTTTTTAGCAGATCATCGCCCATGTTTCCTTGCGCAAATGAGGTCTCCTCATCATCATGCAACTGGGTTCTATCGTCCCCCAAATCGTCCATGGGAATATCGTCAGCCATGATTATTTATTTATTGAACATATATTATATATTTTTAATATAAAAATGGCACGAAAACTCGATCCTTACCGAAAATTGAGAGAACCCTTGGCGGTCAAAGCCCTGGGTCAATCCGTGACGATCACCAACAATCTGAGCACGATCGACGAAAAACAAACGCTGTTGGTGCCCTTTCCCAACCTAGGTGAGAACGACGTTATCGTTCCGGGGACGGCTCGCCTGTCCTTCCAGATCAGTTTGGAATCCAACGATGATAAGTGAGAAGTCGTGGGGAACCTGGGTCACTCCATCGTGAAGAAAACGACCATCAAAATCAGCGGAAACGAAATTTTGAGCATCGACGACAGCGACGTGTTCTTCAGCTACACGGACCTCTGGAGAACCGCGAGCGAACGAGAATACATGAAGTACCAAGGGATTTGTCCGGCCGAGTGTCCATCGACTCGGTTGCGCGTGGGGTATAGGTTACAGTTTCGACCGCGATGGCAGAAAACACATGTGGCCATCGCCGAGGCGTTCGGGAACAGATTTTGCATCCCGCTCGACTTCGAGTTGCTGGAGGGTCACATGCCGTTTTACCAAGCCGCGCTGGATGACAGGCTGGAGTATGAACTCGCCTTTAACGATAACACTCATGTGATCGTGACGGAGAACGGCGAGGAGGGTCGCTACAACATCGACAATATTTCGCTGGAGTTCGACAAGGTGACGAATCCGGAATTGGCTCGACAGATTCGCAACCAGTATTCGGGCACGTTAGCCATCCTGCACGATCGCATGCTGGGTCACCGGAAGATCGTCGCGAACAAGAGTGACACGCTGTGGAATATCAATCTGAATGTACCCTCGTGATCGATGAAAGGCATTTTGATCCTGCCGGTGGAAGAATTTCCGTCGTTTTGAAGGGTCAACGAAAAGTATTGGAACCCCGAGATCACGAAAGTGGAGGTGACCGTCGAGGGTATGCCCAACCAGCTGTTCAGCCAAGACATGCGTGCTTACCATCAGTGGGACGAGATCCAAAAGTTACCGGTGGGCGCTTGATCAACGCGATCGTCAAGGACCTCAGTCTCGCCTACGTGTTGGTAGAAGAGTACCTGACGACCAAGTACGCGCTGTGGCTGGACATGCGATCCATGCGATCCAGGGACGACGTTGCGGGTGAACAAGACGTACACGGAGAGAGCGTGGTGATGACAGACCCAGACGCACAGGGTGGATCCTGGAACGCGTCTGCAGGACTGGTTGACTGCTTATCACGGTAAATTGAAAGGGGAGTCGACGATGTTCCTCCTGGATGACTGCAGCGCCAACCTGGCCTTCTGGGGCCGGCACACGAAACACAGCGTTTAGGTGCTGACGCAAAAATTTAGCTCTGTGCTCAAAGACCTAAGGGAGCAGACGCGATGGGTGGCCCTGTTTCACTGCAAGGACAAGGATTCATTCTAGGAATGCTTAAGAGAAAACAACGTGATTCCGAGCAAACAAGAATGCGACCGCGTGAAAAAACAGCTCGCCGAAACAAAACACGTCAAACTCCTATTGAAAACGGACCAACCCGTAGCATATAAAGTTAGCTAGCTTAAGCAAACTGTACCAA